TCTTTCCCATCTGTCTATATCAGGGGCATCACACTTACTTGGGACCTACAGTAGGATCCAGACTGTGAGGCTTCTCATGAGCTGGAGCCAGCCTGGGGTACAGAGGTAGCTACTATAGTGGCAGCCAGTCCAGACACAGTATGTCCAGAGGTGGCAACAGTGGATCTAGAGGCAGAGCAAGGCCTAGTGGTGAGACTCCAAGCAGCCATAGATGTCCAGAAGTGGTAGGGTATCTACAGGTGGGGTTGTGGCAGCAGTGAGCATACAGGAGCACAAGGGTTCAGGGGCAGCAGTAGGTCAGGGAAAGGGGTCCAGCAATGGCTGAGAGGTTCAGGGATGTAATGTGGGTTCAAAAACAACTGTAATTATGAGCAAAGCTTGGTTCCAATGGCCATAGCCAGGAGGGCAGAAGGGCCCCACCTTCAGTGGCAGACCACACCCCACGACTTCTGGTAGCTCACCAGGATGGATAAACTCTGGGGGCTGTATCTGTGTTGCAGGGCACTAAGGTGCCTGCTCCTTTAAGGACAGAAATGGCCTAGAGAGAGGGCCCTAGGTGCCAGGCAGAAACCCCACAGGTGCAGGTTACTGTGGCAGCAAGCCAACGAGGGAACTAACGTGCACCTGGTCAGCTGACTGGAAGAAGGCAGGGTCCTAGGTGCATATAAAACCCAGGGCTGGGACTAGAGAGTTAGTTTTCTGGCAGCAGTCAAGGGGGGAGGAGCTCTCATAGAGGAAGCTACTTGGAGAAGTTTAACTGCCTGTTCTGATGTTAGTAGGATTAAGGGGCTATAGGAGCTCATAAGTGCTGGTGGGGATGAGGCCCATTAGACTGAGAGAAGCTTGCCTTCTTAAAAGGGATAGATTGTGGACCCTATGTTATTATTGTATTGTAGCCCAGGTGCTTGTGCTTTCTGTTGTTATTTAAACTGATGTACTGGGCTGAAGCTATTGGTGAGGAGGAGGCCTCATTGAGGCACACTACAGTGTGGAGACTCCAGGACCAGAGAGGGCATGGAGACAGGGCTGAAGAGGGCCCAGGCACTCTCACAGTAAACTTGATTAACAGTATAAATGTTAAAATGGCCACATTTCCCAAGTTAAAACAAGCTCAGAACTAAGAGTAAACACACTTGAGTAAGAAACAAGCAATCATGTGAATTTAATTAGAGCAAAACTAATTTTGTTTTGTGGAGGTGAGAGTGTAAGCAGTTTTACTGAAAATGAAGGTCATTTATATTTCTGTAGCCAGTCTTAGAACTGGAACAAAACGAAAAAAATAAACCAGACTATAGTAGCCTTTTCACGAAGCCCTGGTGTATTACTAACATGACAACTGTGGATCTTGCTGTTGTATTAGGGGCTCTCTCTTACTCCAAAAGAGAAGAAGGAGGTGGGGCAGACTGTATTCTGAAAATCTTGAACATATTTTTTATATAAGCTGTGTTGCTTTATTCCTTGTCATGTCTGGTCAGGAAAGTTTAAATTTCATATATCTGGAAAAAAGGAGTGTCTATTTAATCAGAACTCAGTGTTATTTAGAGGATTTTACCCCACTATGGCAGGAAATTTACAGTGACTATGGCGAAATGTTGAGGATTGAGGATTTAGTGTCTTGGTTGAAAACCTTTACATTTAAAACTGAAGTTCACTCTTGGAATGTATAGCATTTTCAATATCTTTGAAAGCAATATTTGAAGAAAATTGTAGTACATATAAAAAAGTTATAAGTTTTGGAATGTAATGGACTGTGGAAACTAATTACCAATTTTTTCCAGAGGTTTTAACATTTAAATTGCGAAATTCAAAGTTGTTATTCCCATAGTCATGTTCACTCAGCCATGTTGTTCATATACTGTTATTAGGTTCATTTATACTAACATTTTACAAAGCAAAAATAAGTTAATTAAATGTTGTTTTACCATTTATTATTGGCACATATGTATGTGAATACATAGTGCACATGATAGTGTACAGTTATATTGTTGGCATACATTTTTGATTGTTGCAATACAGTGAAGAGAGAAGCAACAAGCAATTGATTCTATGTCAGTAGGGACCAACATTTTTGGTAGGCATGCCACAAAACAAACCCCACACCCTCTCCAATCCTTTTTTCTGCCCAATCCATTTCTATGTTTCCTGCTCTCTTCTCTTTGTTTTTGGCCTGATCTGCTGCTCTGCTTTGTGCTCCCTGCCCTATCTGTTGAGGTGTTGACTTGCTCCCTCTCTGATTTACTTGTGGTCTGCATGCCATGGGTTGGTCACCCCTGTTCTAGGTGATCCAAAACTCACAGTAAAACAGGAAAGACATAAATAATGTTTATGAGATTAATTCTTGTATCTTTCACCGCCTACCCCTAAGATTTAGTTACCATGAGTGTAGGGACTGGAGAAGGAAAAAAAATTAACGTATTATATGTATGTAATCTAAAAAATGATCTCAATAGCTTTTCTCCATTAAAAAGTGACGTTTTAAGTCTGATATCTTAGGGATTTTCAGAGTAAAAGTAAATGCTAGATCAAATGGAAAACCTACATTTTCCAATGGTATTCCCATTACTAACTCCAAAAGAATGTGATATATCAGACTTTAAAATTGTGACATTAATTCTTGAGCCAATGACAAATCTTGACCATGCTAGACTTCAGATGCATAGAATTTAGGAAGGAAAAAAAGGAAATATATATCCATAATGCTTAGTTTTTAAGAATGTATTTAAAAATAAAGATTAGGTTTAGGCAGATATTTTTTCCAACTATTCGAGTTGGTCCAATAAAAGATATCAGGTGGAACCAAAGAACCTTGTCTTCCTATGTCCTCAGACCAATACAGCTACAACCTACACCCTAAATGAGGCTTAGGAAATTAGAGTAAGACCCAGAAGTAGATTGTGTGGGTTGGTAATGTATCATAATGATATGCAATACAAATTTATCTATCAAGTCAAATCACTGCAATAGCTATTATGAACACCTACTATGCACATAGGTATACCATCAAAATAACTTCCTTTGTTTGGCAAAAATGTTGATGGCCATTAAATAAAGTTCTTACCACATTAGAAGGTTCCAATTTCTTCCTCTTAGCAAGATCAGTGATATTATTACCATTGTAGTTGATGCTTTCCATACAGCCTTTGAAATTTTTTCTGCTGTTTGAACTGGGCTTCCCAGAAAAAGGCATGCCACCAAAGGTTATCTATAAAAGCAAAAACAAAATTGTGTAATTGTAACTGAAATGAAATGCATTACTTTCTAGAACCCCTTTAATATATTTTCTGTCAAAAAATTTGCTTTCTCTGAAGTTCAAATGTAGCAAATGAGATATGTTTTGGGGTAATGGAAGCAGCTATTACATAAACAATATAGAAATGCAGCTAGTCAAGTTTGAATTTGTAAATGCAAATATTCCCATTCAAGACAAGTGCCTAGTATTATTGCACTTGTCTAAATGGAAAATAGACACATGACCTTTTTTTATATGGCTCAGATAGATTCACTGGCTCAGAAACTACTGACTAAGAAATATTTCAAATAGTGAATGAAAAAGGGAAAATGATATCACTCCAGAATATTTGTAAGAGTGAAATCAGTGAAATTATTTGAACTTATTTGCTCTGAATCATTCACTCAGTTCTAATTGTATAAATTAGGGGGAAAAAGTGATAGACATATAGGACAGCTCAGTGGATAATTATTTAGTAAAGGGATAGCTTTGGCAGCAGTAGGTTCCAATGATACATTTGTAGTAGCATTAAAATTGTATCCATCTGAAAGGAGAGGAAGAGCTGCCCTGCAGAAAGACAAGAGAGAGGAGAGAGAGAGAGAGAGAGAGAGAGAGAGAGAGAGAGAGGGAGTTTGTCTTAGTACAGACCCTGTATGCACTCATGGTGAGTGAAGCTCTTTTGAAGGCAGCCATGTTTGAGGTGGGAAGAGTGACATAACCCCAACAGGGGTTTTGAATTGGAGGAATGATAGGAAAGGCCTGGGATGAGTCATAGCTTGGAACTGGCTGAATGGGGTTTTTTAAAAAGGGGGAGCAGTTTTCCTAGAGAGGAGAGCAAAAGAGAGAGAGAAAAGGAGAAACAGGTTGGAGGCCAGGAAGAGGACCTCACCATAGTCATCTCTTGGAGAGCCCCTATTGGAGCTCTGCAGAAGTAACAGCTGGAGGCTGCACTGGAGAGAGAAACAGCTGTCCTTTCTTCCCTCTCTTTCCCTTTTGGAGCCCTGCTGGGGAAGGCACCAAAGAGGACCTGCCTGTTAGGAGATCCCAAATCTGGGAAGACCTTCCTACACACCCCTGTGTGGCGTAAGTGAGCACAGGAAGGGACGGGGATTCAGGACTAGTGGGAGACTGCCCTGCTTTTCTCCGTTAGTGAAAAGGCAACTGAGGGAGGGGCAGGCTCAGTGTGCCAGAGGGAACACTGGGCTAGAGGGGTCAAGGGACTGCTCCAGCCCATCAGAAGCCCCAGTGGTAGGCAGGGACCAGGGAGGGGCTTAATTTGCCAGGTGGTGCGAGGCTGTGCTGGGCAGGAGGAACTGTTAGAACCTGTATCCCAGACCCCACTCTGTGCTGTGCTGGGGGGATGGGGGTTGGGGCAGGAATAAACTGTCTTGCAGGGATCGCAGGGGAGGAGCCACGGCCTGCCATGCTGAAACCCCTGTAGCTCATAAGAGGAATGCTAGCAGTGGGGACCCATGCACAGCTCCCATAGGAGGGACACAGAAGCAGCCCCGCTCCCTGAGAAACCAAGCCTAGGGCGCAGTGTACACAGGGTCATCATAGTTACCCTTGAGTGTACAAGTTATAGACTAAGTTTTTTAAAATAAGTTATTGATAGTTTATTAGTTGGTATATCCATTTATTTATTTATTTGTTCCCTATTTAGCATGGGTAATTTGTATGCCTTCCCCTGGTGTAAGGTGCGTCAGAGAAGTATTAACCTTCGAGCCACCATTGCTGAGTTATGTTGTGTAACATTATTTGTTTTATTTTATTAGTTGTATGCTATTCTGTAAATAACTACATTCTGTAAACAGTTTTATAATGGTCCTCAAGGTTGTTTTGATTGTTAGGGTAGGCTTTCCACTTGGGGACCCTGCAACAGTTACCCAGGGAGCTGAGCAGGGCCACTGGCTACCAGGTACTCCAGGATCCCACTATTCAGGTGAGAGAGCGGGTAGCATCGCACCCAGGGTTACACATTTATTGTACTTTTGTTGGTCACTGATAAAATTAGATACCTTGTTCCACACTCAAATCAATAAGTAACAATACATTTCCAAATCACAGTGCTAAAAATTATAAGATAATTTTGCTGTCAGTTACACACTTGTGCACACAGTCATTGATTTCTATGCGGTTGTCCTGGGGTAATTGAAAATATACCAGAATGTTTATTTATTGTTTTATCTCTCTCACTTGCATTTGCTTCTGGATAAGTTGTACTTATGTTTGTCTCAGAACAAAAATATCCCCAGGATTGGTATGTACATGCATCACCCATTTAATCAGGATTTAGTGAGAGGCTAAATACAGTACTGCTTTTCTGCCACTGATTTAGTGATTCAGTCTCAGGATAACTGTACAGACGTTGCAATATGCCAGGATAAACTGTTACTACCTGTTACCTGGATTTTTTTTTTTTAGGATTTAACCTGGGTCAATGGACACAAACATCTGTACAAGTGCACCTTTGTCCTGGGATAAAATGATTTATATCTTTGCAGCCTCATTAATCTCTCTCTGAAGCACTGACCATTTGCCCATATTTGATTCCAAATTTAGGCATAGACATCTATCTTGGAAGACAACAGAATTGAGCCAAGTGCAGAATCAGCTGAATGTAGAAGGATTTCAAGTATTGGACTCTACAGCCATACTTGCAGAGGTTCAACACTCTGCAAGTATGGCTGTAGAGTCCAATACTTGAAATCCTTCTACATTTATAAGACAAAGTTCATATCGAACAGTCCTGAATATGGTGTGGGGTTCTTCCTGAGGTTTCTTCTTTATTTTGCATGTTTGGTTCTTCCTTCTTCAAAAGCCTTCATTCCATGCTTAAGGGACTGTTTCCAAGCACATCGATCCTTAGCAATCTTTTCCCAATCATCTGGCTCAACCTTCATTACCTTCATATCACTCTTGCAAACACCTTTGAAACAGAGACAAGGGTATCCCCATGGTCTTCTTTCTGTAAAGAATTATTTGAGTATACAGCCATGGTCTATTCTCTGTATATGACCAAGCCATCCAGGTCAATCCTGAATAAGAAGAGATTCAATGCCTGGACTGTTGGGATGTTTCAAGACTTCAGTGTAGACCAGTTTGCCTAGCCAGGAAATTCCTAGAATGTGGCAAATTCAACTAAGTGAAAGCTATTGATGCACTTTTCTTGAATACAGCATGCGGTCCAGGATTTGCTGCTGTACAAAAGATTGTGGATGACACTAGTATGATCTGCTTTGACCCTCATCTAAACAGTCAGTTTGCTGTTCCACACTCATTTGCTCAGCATGCTCATGATATCAGATGCTTTCCAACTATGAATATTCCGTTCAGCCTCAAGTGATAAGTTGTTGGTAACAAAGAAGCCAAGCAATGTAAATTTATTTACAGCATCCAATACATATTAACCTACTGTGATCTCTGGTGGTTTATCAATGTTTTGGCCAATAATACTGGTCTTCTTGATGCTGACTGTATGACCAAACTCTTGGCAGGCATGAGCAAAATGACTGATGGGTCTTTGAAGGTCACTCTCTGTGTAGGCTATCAGTGCAGCATCATCACAAAGAGCAGTTTATAAATTAAAACTTTCCACACTTGAGTCTTTATTTTAAATAAATAGGTTGAATAGTTTTACTTTAAATAAATAGGTTGAATAATTTTCCCCCTGAGTGGGTGTGTCTACACATACATTTACGCTGGTTTAAATTGATTGTACAGTAAATTACTGAGCAGTAAGTGGGAACAGGTTGACATATGCACATGCAGGCATTAAAGCACATTAACTCTGTGTGTGGGCTGACTTGGGACTAACTTCAGTCCTAAGTCAGTCCACACACACAGTGTTACTGCACAGTAACAGGGTCTGTTATAACTTCTCCTGATTCTGTCTTTAATGGAACTGGCTTCTTTGCAGTTGGACTTATCACCTTCTTGATTCCATTGGTCATACATGCCTCTGATGTTGCCAGTGTCAAAAGTGGATTGAATTTCCTTGCACAGTAGCAGCCAATAATCATTGGCACAACATCTTATCTTGGACAACAGTCCTTGCTATCCTCAATTTGTTCAAAGATCCATCTAGGGAATTCTTCTTGTGATTTAACATAGCAGTTTGTTTGGCTTTGATAAATAGATCAGTTCATGTGAGTGTGCCTCAAACAAATCACTGTTTCTTCTGACATCTTTGCTGAATTTAGAGTCAGCAGTGACACAGATAATTCTTTTTTTAGGCTTCCCCAGTTCTCTTCTGCAGTCTCACAAACAGGCAGCTCTGAAATAGCTTCCTCTAGAACCTCCATAAACTGTAAGGTTTTCTGATGACCAGATTTATTGGTGATGTTCATACGTGGCAAACACTAATACTGAGAGCAGACGAGCTTCTTTGGTTTCAGTTTGATCTTAATGACTGCAAGCAAGTGATCAGTGTCAACATCAGCAGTATTATAACTACAATTAAGGAGGATATTACTGAGATTGGACCACCTAGTGGTGATGAGGTCCAATTGGTACTAATGGCCAGATCTTGGGTGCCGCCATACCTTATGGCATGGCTCTGTTTGGAAAAAATGAGTTGGTGATACATGAGTTAGGATAGAAGCAGAACTCCACCAGCCGTTGTCTATTATGACTCATGATATCTGTTGTAGAAGGGAAAACACAGGCTCATTATAGCTACTTGACATGAGTAGCTAGTATTTCCAAATTCTTTAGATGAACCCCATATTGACTGAAATAGCTGATGTGTAGTTTTGCACTTAGACCTGGAGACTCAGTGGAACAAACAACAGATGGGAAAAAAGGTGGGCCAAGAAGGCCCAAGAACAATAAGAAACCAAGCTTGGGAAATAAAGGTTTGCAGTATCTAAGTTGGAGACTGCAGCTGTAAATATTGCTTAAAAAGAACTGCTTAGAAAAAGAAAATGGGGTAGCAACACTATCTGGCAACCACCTAGAAATGATGATGTCACACCAAGTCATAAAAGAAACAGTAAAAGACAACAAAATCTCTCTCTGCTGGACTGTGTCCAGAGAAAAATTGGGTGATCAATGCAGACACAGCGACTCAGGAGCCTTGCCTCAGCGTGGCCAACTGATTAAGAACTTACATTCAATCCACCCAAGATTGCTGCAGCACAGTGAGATCACTTTAACAAATGTAGCATTGCTGCTTTAACTATGTATGTAGCCAGTAAGGCTAGTAATAGTTACAAGATGGTCAGTCAGGCCCGTATACATGGTCCTAACCTTCCATGTTGAAATGTGGAGTTATAATTTTCTCTCTCTCTTTGTCTGGTACAGTGATGCAATTTTCTTTTCAGGTTCTCTCTTAGCTCCAAGTACCCACTGGAGCAGGCAGACCATGGCAGATGAACACCTTACTTACTGGCTGGGGGCTGTCCAGTTTAAGGTGGGCCATAGCTGATGAATGAGATACAATAATCTTTTCCACTGGCAGAGGCAATCTATAGCATCAATGACCACTGGCACCCTCCAGGTTATTTAATCACTTCTTACAAGTCGGCATCAACAGTCTCAGGTAGTACCATCTGTGACAGGGCACAAGTTGCACCTGCCACTTTAAGAGGTTCAGTCAGGCTATGGAACAGCCGGCAGGTGCAGTCAGGGCCAATTAGGCAGTCAGACAACCACAAGGTGGCTATCAGATTGGATAAGGGCTGGGTAGCCAGAGTATAAACCCAGGGCCTAGGGGCAGAGCCGACAGTTACAGCTAGGGAGCCAGTGGAGTAACATAACACAGCCTGAGGACAGCAGCTCTTGCAATACCTGGAGGTTAGGATAGGAACTATGGAGATGGAGGAGGTTCCAGATGGTCCTGGGTAAGACCTGAAACTACACCTTGCTGGGGTTGGATGGTGTGGTGGGACTGCCTGTGGCAGGGCAGTCTCCAGGAAATGCCACACTTGTGCCTTTCTAGTGAAAGGTGAGGATGGGGCACTGGAAAGCCTCAGCTGCCACTGCCTTGTGGGTGCTGCATGTAGGGGAAAGACTAGGGGAGCACAACCCAACAGAAAAGCACAGGATATATGCTGAGGGGGGCCTTAGGTGGGGTCCAGGCCCATGGAGCGGGGCCTGAGACAGGGCCAAGGCTCATCTCATGGGACCTGAAGCCTGAGGGACAAAAGGACCCGGAGCCCAGTGAAGGGCAAAGTGGTGGTCCCATGAGCTGGCCTGATTGAGGCCAGGGGTCCAAGGTGACCTGAAGAGCTAAGGCTCACTGAAAGGTATGAACCCAGCAACAGACAGTCTGGTGCCCTGACTAGCCCAACCTGGGTCCAGGGCTACATCATCCAAAGGTCACTAATGTAGCAAGGACCACAGATGAGGGGTGAGATGAGGGGTGGAGTAGTGGCCCACTGAGGGGCAGAGAGTGGTCTAGAGAAGGGGCCAGGATGCCAAGGCCCACACAGTGGGACATGGTGGGAAAAGGCATACAGGTTGCCAGGACAGGGGCAGGCTGGTGATGTATGTGGCACGGGGAGTTGCCCGTGTCACACCATCTACTGTAGATTATGGTAGCAGGTGAACCTGACCTGACCTCAAATTTAGATTTTTCAGATACTGAGCAGATAAATTGGAAGCATCGTGCAGTTTTTTTCTGGCATCCACTAGTGGAAATAAATATAATACTCAGTCATTACTTAGAACCACCCCTGCCCCCTTCCTTTATGGTCAGGATGTTATGGGTTACAAGAGAAGGTACAAGGGCACAAGATTTATTAGGTTGAATCAATATTGTAAATGAAGATGGTAGTAACTTTGTTTGACTCCTATTCCAGAACAAAACCAAGAATATTTAGTCCTGAATTTCATAGCTTAGTGTACCGATATAGTCCGTTTCTTTAGCACTGTGAAAAAAAAATTGAAAAAAAACCCACATGCAATACATTAGGTTAAAAATTTTCATATCTTTAAGAGGTTCACCTCTATCAGTCTACAGAGTGTATAGATCTTTATCAACTTATAAGTCTTTCCAAAAATGTTTAGAAATGAATAAATGGTATATGGTTATAATAATATTTTACAGTTGGAAGGTGAAGAACAAGGCCCTGATGAGATTCATCTCTTCAATCTATGTTAAGTATTTATATAAAAAAATAATGGCATAAATAGTAATGATACCAAACTTCTCCCTCCCAAGAATTCTCTCAAAGACTTCTTCTTGCACTCTTCCTCTGCGGTTTTCCAGATCCAAGCTTTAAAACATCATCCATCCATTGTTAATTCTAGTGGTTATTACTGAGGGCTGGAAAACGCAGCTCAAGGGAAGTACTTTCTATTAAAATACTTCTGATGTATCACTTTATATCTCAGAGGAAGGCTTTTCAGTACTTCAATTATCATTCAATACGTTATTTTTTCTTAAATACTAGAACTAACAAACAAAAGATGCTAAAAATCAATCACATGCACTACCTAATATAACCATGTGGCCATATCCCCAGTTACTATGAACTGACATAGCCCTTCAACGAGCCTGTATCAGTTTATACCACCTGAGGATCAGAGCTATTTTTTTGTTGCAAAACGTATCTTAATATGCCAGCATTAATACACTTGGACAAAGCAGTAGGAGGGGAAAAAAAGAAAAAGAAAAAGAAAATAGCAGACAATCAAACACTATGATAGACTAAGACCTGAAGGATTGTATTGCATTAGAAGTGTAATCAGAACTAATGTCCATTTTTCATTTTCTTGCTTATCTCTTCTGAAAAGAGAGAAACCTAAAAGTTTATTTTTCTATTTGAAACACTGTTTTGATTCCCTGGGCTTTATCATCTATGATTAATATATCAAAAGGGCAACATATTTAAATGTAGTCTATGGAAACCAGGCACTGAAAAGACAGTGTTAATGGGATGGGAAGGAACTAGACAGCTCTGGGCTAGCCACTGAAATTTGTATGTGCTACTATAACTAACAGAGAGTATATTCTCCTTTTGATGCACTCATGTAACTTGCAACAAAGATAAGGAGCCTCATGTCTAATAAAAGTGGTATGTAAGTTAGAGGATTGATACTGGTAAATCTGTGGGATGGGACAGGAAGTCAGGTCTATGGGGGCATCTCTATACATGCTCCAGAGTTTGGGGCGGGGGGAGGGAAGAAGGGAACACTTTAATTACAGTGGCTCTTGGGAGCTGCTCTAATTAACTGAGGTATCTTTACACATGCTCTGGAGTTATATGTGTGGGGGGGAGGGGTGCTTTAATTAGAGCTGCTCTTGGGAACTGCTCTAATTAAAGCACCTGTAGTGTTTTGTGAATTCAGCATCCTGCACTTCAAAATGGTGGTATGGGCACTTTAACTAAAGCTCTTTTGATGAGATTTAGTTAAAGTGCCCCCACCACCATTCTGAAGCACAGGGATACTGAATACACATGCCAGTACTTCTGGTCCACTTCTGGGTCTGCCGCCAAGCACGTGGGGGACCCATCCACACCCCACTGGCTCAGTGATCAGCCACGGGGGGACCCCAGGTGCCCCCCAGACTCAGGAGGCACCAGTCACAGAGTCAGGGGGTGGGTTCCCCCCGCACTCTGTGGCAGACCTGGAAGTGGACCAAAAGTACTTCTGGTCCACTTCCATGTCCACTGCTGAGCACATGGGGAACCCCTTCCCCCGGGCTCCCATGGGATGGTCCATCTGCCCCACCATCTCAGCATTCACAAGCCTTTGCCCTCCATAGAGTCACCCACAAGGCAGTGGGGGCTGACACTTTCCAGTGTCCCATACTCGTCTTTCACTAGGGAGGCATAGGTATGGCATTTCCTAAAGACTGCCCCATCACAGGCAGCCCCACCACACCATCCAACCCCAGCAGGCAGGGTGTAGTTTTAGGTCATGCACCAGGACCAGAAACCTCCTCCACCCCATAGTTCCTACCCTGACCTCCAGGTGTTCTGGGAGCAGCAGTTCACTGGCTGGGCAATGTTTATCCTTCAGCTCCTGGCAGTAAGTACCAGCTCAGCTCCTAGGGCTTGGGTTTAAACTGAGGTTGCCCAGCCCTCCTCCAATTAGGCGGCCTCCTGATTGGCATGTGGCCCCCTCATTGGCTCTGCTGCCTGCTCAAATGCTTAAAGTGGCAGGCACCAAAGGTGCCCTGCCACAAACTTTCTCTACTTAGTCTGGAAGTCAGAATTAGGCTCTTCTCAGCTGTTCTTCTTTGTTATGGAGCCTTAAAAAAGTCATTTAAACTAAATGCATTTCAATACAGCTACCTAAAAAAAATGTTAATAGTATCTTCCACATAGAGATATCAGGTTTGATTTAAATATTTAATACCTTTTAAATTCTAATTATGAGGCAAAATTAACTTATTCATTAGAACTGGACAGTTACAAAAACAAAGATATTCATGGACATCTGTTTTAATAAAACTGATACTTTGCTTAAGTGGGATTTCCAATTTTTTACCCCTTTAATGTTTAAACTTTCTTAAGTGCATATTTTACTCAAAATAACACTAATTTATTTGCATGAGGAAAAGTCTTGGAAATATTTTCATTTTCCATTAAGCATATTTACTTATTGTTTAAAGTACTCAATGCAATGCGGAAGCACTTAAATATATTTTAAAAACAATACACACAATACTTGTGAACTACAGTAAATACTATAGTATCCTATAAATAAAAATAAATTAGGCAGAAGTCTCGGATGAGTTTAATAGAAGGCATTAATAATTGCCAGACTTAGGATATAGTAGATGAATGACATAACTGAATTAATAAACTAAGAGAATCATATACCTTGGAAGAAATTTGAGAGAATTATATTAATAAAGGCTTTCATTTCTTTTGGTGCTATAAAATGTAGTAAAATAATCTTATATTATACTGCTTTTTTTTTCTTCTACCCTATTTGGTTTTGCTCCAAGAGTCAACTTGAAACGAGAACTAACAAATTCTCTGTTTACCTCATAGTCCAAGTCCAAGTAATCGAATTCCCCATTGGTTCTGAAATGCTGGATGTGTCTGTCCAGTGTGAGATTGATGTTCCTCCCATGACGTTCTATGACAATGGAGTGCCAGTGGTGGTCATCCAAGAGGCTGCCTGTCATCACAGAGGTGTGGCCATAAATTGAGCCATACTGGTTGCTACCTAATATAGAACGGATGAGAAAAGCAGCAGGGGTAACTACACTAAATATAATTTAGGAAAACAACTTTTGTCCTATTGTGAAACATGGAACATGCTGCACCCACAATTGTACTTTAGGTCAGCCCATAGGGAAGTTAAGAGCTGCCCACTTGTGGAGTTTTGCCACAAATATCTGCAGTGCGACCATATACCAAATGTCTGATCAGAGAAATATAAAATCAGTTATTGATAACTGTACATATTTGATAAGATACTTGAGAAGTAATATCTACTTTTAAGTAAAATTGTTTTCATTCAGGGATTTTATTTTCTTGAGCCCTGTACTTTTCAAGTGAAAAGTGGTAATCTTCACTAGAAATTTTTACGGTTGTATGAGATCTTTCACTTGAGCGCAGCTATGGTGACTTCCACCATTTGAAGATGTGGTGCTGACAGCCAGAAAAGCCTTGAAATCTGACGGTGCTGTAGTTGTGATGTTTAAGGGAATATACTGGTCTAGCATCTCTCCCAAATATACAATGAATCCAATGAAAGATATTACCAAGTCATTTTAGCGTTTTCTCGAATAGCTTCCCTTCACCCCAAAGTAAAATAAGCTATGCAAGGCAAAGAACAGTTTCATAGTTCATAAAATAATATGAATGATGTCCATGTTTTTTATTGGCATGGCTATATACCAGGCACAGTTCCCGCTTTTTCATACTGATCTAGCTCGGCCAGTAAAGGTCTTCAGTGTAGATATGGATGTATTGGGTGCATCTACATTAGACATTTACTGTGCGGTAAACTAATTAGATGCACAGTAACCATCTCAGCATCTACATGGGCACCCCACTCAGGCTATAGTAAATTAATTCACTCCACAGCAGAATAGAATAGTACTTGTAGTGCAGGGAGGGAAGGTAATACAAGTGTTATCCTAGTGTGGGGTAAAAAATTCTACAGCAGCGCATGTGTAGGTGATGCCCCGACTGGTTGGGCATGAGGGTGATTCAGTGTGGGGGTTCCCTGCTAGCTAGCCTCATACTGAAGCACCTTGTGCCCCAGCCAGCCCCCACACAGGGCCATAGGGAGCAACCCTGGGCTAGCAGGCTGACCGCCTGAGGCCTCTGCCAGTGGGAGCTGCTGTAACCCAGGTCAATGTGCTATGGGCTTGGGCACACATTCAAGCGGCAATAAACTCTGGAATATATTGCTCCCAGGCACACATTCAAACAGCACACTTGAGAGCAATAAAATCCAGAGTTTATTGCTTTGCATTAATTGCATGTGTAGACATGCCCACTTGGTAATACCTACTTCCACAATAGTTTCTAAATTAGTTCCAGTATTAGGTTTGTGGTGTCCTGGGAATATTCCATGGTTTGAATGAAGCAAAATTCAAATTTATGGAACTGAAAATTTCTCAGCATCAAGTATCTCTGGTACTCAGTTTTGAGTCTTAGAAGACTCTTCTGAACACTGGGACCCAAAATCATTTAATGACACCCTCACTAAGCTGAAGTATGGTAGCAGCTGCATATTAAGTAGGCTGACTGAACTGGGATATATTATAAAACAGGAAATGAGTGGGTTATAATTTCAATAAAAATTGTTTAAAATAGATTAGTGCTGCAGCAAGATGTTCTATCCTCATCAGCATCTGCCCACATTGCTGATTTTTCAAAAAGGAGGAGAAAAGAAAATGCTAGTGGAAATAATTGCTATTCATTGTAAATAATACATGAATAGAACAATTTACTGTTCACATGATTGCAAGAAAAGTAATGAAAAGTTACATGAAAATGCAGTTTTGAAGTATATTTATTTAAAGAAAAATCCCAGACCAGAGATGTATTTTCTTTCCCGTATGAGCTGATACAACTCAGCCTATAATGCAACTTGCGTATACAGCTAGAGCAAGAGGACAACGCTTATTAACCAATATATAGACAACTCCTTAATGGGGGTACTGGGCACAGTCAGAACATGTTTCTGTTTTAGGCTCACTAGTTCTCAGATTCACTAACATTACCTAAACTTCTTAACTTTACAACTTTGTGGGTGCATCTACATATGCAGTTAACTGCACAGTGGACTAACTAGCTTCACAGTAAAGCATTGCTGTCTATACATGTGCCAGTATTAGGGCACAGTAAACTGATTAATGCCACTGTAGGATAGTACTGTCAGGGACAATACTATCTTACAGTGGAGTACTTTGCTGCACAGAAACGCATGTGTAGATGGTGACTAAGGGCGTAAATTGCACTTGATTTGCCACAGCTCAAATTAATGCAGTTCCAGGCACATGTGTACACACTGCCTGGGAGCAGTTGACTCCAGTGTGAACTGCTCCAGAGTTTATTGTGTTGCCTTAATTTCATGTGTAGATGCATCCTATGTTTCCTTAAATTCTGGCCTCAAATTAGGCATACATTAGATTTTTCAACAAGTACTGTAGAAGAGTCAAGCTACACATTTCCAAATCTCAAAGCTAATAAAAATAGGGAACCCAAGTAGAAAAAAAGCTTCTCTAACGAAGCAATTTTATAGTTCCAGGTTTTCACACTAAGGTTAGGAATTGTGTTATTGAGACTGAGGAATTCTCCCTTTTTTCTTCTTCACAGAGAAATGTGGAAACCCACTGGGCATCCAAGGTAACAAAATTTCATCTCACTGGGATCAATGAGTGTTTTGCTTCTGATTTCAATGGAGGTCAGGATTTTCTTTTAGTTGCTTGCCAACCAAGGTCCTCACTGCCTCTCCTTGGGCTAGTCTTTCTCCAAAGCAAGCTCCTCAGCCTTCAGCTTGGCATTGACCCATGGTTTCCAAGGTCCTCATTGTTTTATCTGCAGCTCCTCATGGTATTTCTAAACTCATTTAGCTTTTTCCCTAATACCACTGATCATCTCCCTGTCTCCCACAGCCACTTACTTCTACTGTAATTACTTTTACAAAAAATGAATCTATACAGAGCTGCCCAGAATACCTTGTACCCTGAGCCAATACAAGATTACCTTGACATTTCTGTGTATAAGAAATTTCTAGTGGCAGTGAAAAAAAAATAATCCTGTTTCTGTGAGACTTTACTGTCATATTATTGATATTTCCTATATAAAATATGAAATAATCTGTACTCAGTTAAAAACAGAATGCAGCACATGGATCAACATACATAAGTGATGATCTAATTGTATGATTCTGCATAAAATGCTGCTACAAAAAAGGAGAAAAGGGGGAAATAATGGTGTTTGACTGCAACTTTTGTACATAAATATATTTTTAAAAAAATCCCAATAATCAAAGCATAAAAAGCATACCTAAATTTAAGTTAAGGATGAGCTTGGCTTTTTTGAGTTCCAGGGTAATATAGTCTCCTTGTTGCCCTTCTCCATGGAAGATTACACCTTCACTCTCAGAGGTTTTGAATTTCAGAGAGATGACATCTTTCAGTGTTTTCATTTTCTTGTTCCTGAATCTGTACGGCAACACAACATGGCCATCAAAATTGATAACATCGGCCCCTAAAAGGAAGAAGTAAATAACACTGGTGAGTGATTATACATTACTATGGCCAGTAGAAAGGCAAACATGCCATATATGCATTGCATCTCAGCGGGATAAATGCAAGAATACAATATGGATTGTAGACATATTTCCAACCTGTAATTTAATGAAAAAATGTAAAATTCAAAACCTGGCACAACATATATTTCCATGTGCCTGTTTTCCATAGGCATATCATGATTAGATTCAAAGGCACAAGGCCTTACACTTGTTGTTCAACTTTTCATTGGTCTTTCCTGAACTCACACAAGTTCACTTCCCCAAGCTGAGAGTAAGAGAGAACATTTCCCAGAGGCTCTTAATTAATTTTATATTATTAAGAACATTTAATATCTATATGAACATGGCATTGTAAAAAGTGTCTGATAGTGATAACATTGTGTAAGATGCCATCAAAAATTCTATAAACACTAGAGGTCAACATGGTCTTGGCCATACTTTTTGTATCAAAATTATGGGGAACTGAGGTCATACATGGTGCAGGGGGGAAAAACTCTCTGCTGTTTGGGCTAATTTTTGTTCTGAATACTTGGTAAGCAGGGGTGTGGCTAGGAGCCAAGTTGGTTCCATGCCAGCCATGCTCACCTGCTCTGAGGAGCAGAGGAGGTGGTCCAGATTGCGGGCAACTGGGGACTGTCAGGGCTGCACTGACAGTCCCCAGCTCCTGCCTGCCCTGAATGGATCCCCACTGCCCAGATCGAGCCTGCCACACCTCCACTGGCCCCCATTGGGCCCACTGCTGTCTTCGCATCCCCTCAGACCTCCCCCTGCCCCTCAAGTATTCTTCCATCTCCCCTGCCCTTAGAGAAGAAAACAGGGATGGAGAACCCATCTGCCCAGCCACTGCCACTGAGCCACTGCTGCTATCCTGGCTAAGCCCAGATAACAGTGTTGCCTAGGTCCCTTTTCCCCAGTTGCTCCTCTGGGACAGCACTGGGGGCAGTGAGCAGGAATCTGGGATGCCAAGGGGGAATGGCCTGATCTGGGATGTGGGTAGGCAGAACAGAGGGCCCAATCCAGGCTGACAGGGAAGGAGAACACCATCTACATCCACCAGCCAAGATTGGATCCACTTCACCACCCTCTCCATACCCCTGGATCAGGCCTCCTCCTTCCCCAGAACCCAGATCCCTGCTCATCTCCCCTGGAGTTCCCAGGGAAGCAAGCAGGGAAAGGGAACCTGACTGCCAGTGATGCTTTCTGGGTCAGGTTCAGTCATGAGAGCAGAGGAACCCCAGCATCAGTGGCTAGGCAGGCAGGTTCCCTTTCCCTGCTTTCTCCCCTGGGATAGCACTGGGTGAGATGTGGAGCATAGTGGGTGTGCATGAGCTGTGAGGACCGGGGGAGAATAAGGGAAGTCCATGGGCAGGGAGGGGATCTGAGGGGAAGTGGGAGGGAGGATTCTTACCTTTAGGTGCTCCTGCCTCTACTATCACTGTGGGGGAAGATAAAACAACTAGGAGAAATGCCTCCTGGGATACTGGAGTACTGATCCTAACTGGTTTTGGGCCTGCTGAGCAGTCACAAGTGACTGCAACATGAGCTGTCCAAAAACCAGTTAAAGATCATCCTCTTTCATCAAGGATTATCTTTAAGCTGCTCAGAGATCCTGGGATGTGCTTTCCTGCCCTAATGTGTGGACACTCCTAGTTTAAGGGCCTTAGCATGTATTTAAGTTACAGTGTAACAACATCCTATTATACTAACCCATTCTGTCTTCTCTCAACAGAGCACCCCCATTTTTCACTATGACTAAGCATGTGAGAGGATATCTACAGTTGATATTAATAAGCACAGTGTTATTAAAATCAGCAGAAACAGACTGATTTTGACATGCTCAATATCCTCCCGTAAAGGGTTTAATCCTGTTCCTGTTAAACAAAATAGGAAAAGCCCCATTGACTTTAATGTTGTAAAAATCACATCTTATGGTCACAATCAAATGAAACTAGTTGGTAAATTATCTGCAAACAGGTATATATGTGTAGGAATACATTTAAAAATCATAAAAATTATAAAACACTTATGTAAACAATTTTTAGTTTATGATTTCTCATTAACTGCATTATTATAAGCATAAGTATTTACTATTCACAAAAAAAAAAATCTACTATTACCATTTATTCGGTCACTTAGTTTCCCTTGGATGAAATACACTCATATATCATAATTTTTTGATTGGATGATTTAAGATTTGTGAACCATTTCCATTTCTGCCTGAAATGGCAATTTGCCATGTCATTAATTTTATTTCTCTATTAAGGAAATCATTATTATAGCCTGATTTAGTATTCTGTGCAACTATTTACTTCTGGAGGGGCTGGATGAGTTCAAGTCAGCAGGTCCAGATGCTCTCCACCCCAGGGTTCTGAGGGAATTGGCAGGGGTTATCGAGGGGCCCCTGGCACAGCTTTACGAACACTCGTGGTGTTCTGGCCAGGTGCCAGATGACTGGAAGAAGGCCAATGTGGTCCCCATTTTCAAACAAGGGAGAAGGGAGGACCCAGGCAACTATAGAACCATTAGTCTTACTTTGGTCCTGGGGAAGCTCTTTGAGAAGATTATCCAGGAGCACATTTGTGAAGGACCAGCAGGGGGGATGATGCTCAGGGGCAACCAGCATGGCTTCATTAGGGGCAGGTCCTGTCAGATCAACCTGATTGCCTTCTACAATCAGGTCACAAAGTCATTGGATGCAGGTGTTGCAGTGGATGTAGTCTTTCTGGACTTCAGGAAGGCCTTTGACACAGTCTCCCACCCCATTCTCGTTAAAAATCTAGGAGACTGTGGCATTGATGCCTACACAGTCAGATGGGTTGCAAATTGGCTGAGAGGCAACAACCAGAGAGTGGTGGTGGACGGGTCATATTCGACCTGGAGGGATGTGGGCAGTGGAGTCCCCCAGGGCTCAGTCCTCGGGCCTGCACTGTTCAATTTCTTTATTAGTGACTTGGACAAGAGGGTGAAAAAGCACCCTGTTCAAATTTGCTGACAATACAAAGATTTGGGTGAGGTAGGCATGCTAGAAGGATGGGACAGGATACAGCTGGACCTGGACAGGTTACAGGGGTGGGCAAATGAGAATAGGATGGGATTCAATACTGAAAATGCAGGGTACTGCACTTGGGCAGTAAGAACCAGCAGCATACCTATAGGCTGGGGAACTCCCTTCTCGAAAGCACAGTGGCACAAAGAGATCTTGGAGTCATCATTGATTCCAAAATGAACATGGGCCGCCAATGTGAGGATGCGGTCAGTAAGGCTAACCACACCTTATCATGCATCCACAGATGCAGCACAAGCAGGGCCAAGGAGGTGATCCTCTCCCTCTATGCAACACTGGTCAGGCCACAGTTGAAGTACTGTGTCCAGTTCTGGGCACCACACTTTAGGAGGGATGTTCATGAGCACTTAGGAGGGATCAAGAGGGTTCAGAGGAGGGCCACTCACATGATCCAGGGATAACAGGGCAGGCCCTATGAGGAGAGGCTATGGGACCTGAACCTGTTCAGCCTTCACAAGAGAAGGCTGAGAGGGGACCTAGTGGCCATCTATAAACTTACCGGGGTGGTGGGGGAAGGCAGCGGGGAATGGGAGAGACCCTGTTCATCCGAGCACCTCCCAGAGTCACAAGGAATAACGGCCATAAGTTGTTAGAGAGTAGGTTCAGGCTGGACATTAGAAGGCACTACTTCACAGTCAGGGTCGCTAGGATCTGGAACCAAGTTCCAAGGGAAGTGGTGCTGGCTTCTACTTTGGGGGTCTTTAAGAGGAGGCTTGATAATTACCTAGCTGGGGTCATATGAGCCCAATATTCTCTCCTGCTCCAGGAGAGGGGTCGGACTTGAAGATCTACTTAGGTCCCTTCTGACCCTACATCTATGATTCTATTAATTGGTACAGAAGTATACCCTAGGTTTTCCTGGGATAAATATCTGTGAATAGCAAACAAAATATATATACACATGGACAATTGTCATAAGAATTTGAAGAAATGTTTGTGACCATTTTTGCACAATCGTTCTTCTATGTCTATTAAAGATGTGATGTGTATCCATTTACTTCCCTCCAAAATTTTGAATAAACAGTAATATTTACATGCACCACAGAACCTAGTCATTTTATGCTCTTACCGAAATCAGTATAGTATTTTCATGCTGTATGATGCAACATTATTTTGTGTTAAGATGGCTTCTGTGACTTGTTTTTCTAGAATGATTGCCAATACTTTTAGAAAACTCATTTGTTCTTCACCATGAAGATGATATATATTTGAAAATACACAGATTAATTTATTTATCATTCCTTCAAAAAAAAGTATTATTCATCCTGGACAAGTGGTTTACAGGAGAATTTTGAAGACTACATGGAAACATTGCCTAAATATATGCTTTTGTCCCTACAAAATTTTCAAAAGCTATTTTGCAATATATACTTAAAATCAATCTCTACTGAACTCTATGAGGCTCTGGCTCAGAAAGTGCTTACTTTCATCACCTGTCAATTTGGAACTTAATTTCCATGTAAATAAGTGGCTGAACTTTCATAAAAGGTTGTCTTTTCAACATTTTATAACTTGCATATATACCTTTTACGCTCAGCAACAAACCTCAATGAGTTTCACAGAAATGCAAGTTACCAAAATGCATAAGGCTCAATAGTCTTGTTCTGACAGCACATACAGAACACAGTCTGCAACAAATAATTTGTTTCTTGTTCAGTTACATTCAGCAGCCAACCTTTACCTGTTAATCAAAATGACTTGTCAACAGTTAGAATTAAACCTTGCAGTTGTGTTGATTGAACACTTAGGCTAAGGCCAGACATTCAAAAAGCCTAAGCCTGAATTAAATGAATCTTTGCAGGTTAGTCTAACCTGGCTAGCTGAATCCATTTGTAACCGTATAGACATGCCCCCTGGACTGAAAGAATGCAGGTACATGCCTGCAGTGGCTCA